TACCCTGAAAAACTCCATGATTTACATAACGATTATCCTGTTGCACCAGAAAAAGTTAAGGTAAATAATAAAATGTTATCGCCATATTGTGAAAAAATTTCATCTACTCACAATATATCAACAGGTTTAGTTTCAAAATTAATACCTACATTACAAAATAAATACAAGTATGTACTGCATTATAGAAATCTTCAATTATACCTAGATCTTGGGTTAAAGTTAACTAAAGTCCACCGAGTATTGAAATTTAATCAATCTCCATGGTTGAAAAAATACATAGACTTTAATACTCAAAAAAGAACTAATGCAAAAAATTCTTTTGAAAAAGACTTCTTCAAATTAATGAATAATTCGGTGTTCGGTAAGACCATGGAAAACTTACGAAAAAGAGTAGATGTTAGACTAGTAACTAATAAAAATAAATTATTAAAATTGACTTCGAAACCTACTTATGTAAGTAGTAAAATCTTCAATGAGAACCTTGTAGCTGTGCATAAGATCAAAGAAACACTAACCCTTAATAGGCCGGCATATGTTGGCATGTGTATCTTAGATTTAAGTAAAACGTTGATGTATGATTTTCATTACAACTATATCAAGAAGAAATATGATGATAAAGCAAAACTTTTATTTACAGATACTGATTCTCTTTGTTACACCATACAATGCGAAGATGCATATAAAGATTTTTGGAATGATAAAGATAAATTTGATTTCAGTGATTACCCAGAATACCATAAATATCATGATAAAACTAATAAAAAAGTTATTGGTAAAATGAAAGATGAAGCTGCTGGAATAGTAGTTAAAGAATTTGTTGGGTTACGAAGTAAAATGTACAGTTATATTAAAGATAATAATAAAGGAGATAAAAAAGCTAAAGGAATTAAGAAAAATATTATTAAAAACGAAATAAAACATGAAGACTATAAAAAAACACTATTTGAAAACAAACAAATGCATCATACAATGAAAACTATTAGAAGTGTAAACCATCAACTTAGTAGTTATGAAATTAATAAAGTATCACTCAGCTGTTTTGATGATAAACGATATATATTAGATGATGGTGTAACAACATTAGCTTATGGCCATTATAATATCGGTTCAAATAACTAAATATTAACAAACAGTTATAATGTGTAGTAAGCATGTAGCGTAGGTCTCTGTTAGAGTTAAATCATACATACCTGCTCCTCATGTTTGACTACATATCACATAACTGTTTGTAATAAGTAATTAATACAAAAGCGATATACAAAAAAATTCAAAATCCTGAAACAATTAGTAAAAAACACTTTTAACAAAAATTACATAAAACATTATATTATTAAAATGCGCTGATGAAATCTACTAGCTCCATTAAGCAACCATTGTTAAACATGTACTAAGACACGCGCTTGACAGACAAATTAAAAAACATATAGATTCCATAGTTTTGTAAAACATTGTATTATTATACATGCGCTGATGAAATGTACTAGCTCCATTAAGCAACCATTGTTAAACATGTACTAAGACACGCGCTTGACAGACAAATTAAAAACATATAGATTCCATAGTTTTGTAAAACATTGTATTATTACATGCGCTGATGAAATGTACTAGTCCATTAAGCAACCATTGTTAAACATGTACTAAGACACGCGCTTGACAGACAAATTAAAAACATATAGATTCCATAGTTTTGTAAAACATTGTATTATTATACATGCGCTGATGAAATGTACTAGCTCCATTAAGCAACCATTGTTAAACATGTACTAAGACACGCGCTTGACAGACAAATTAAAAAACATATAGATTCCATAGTTTTGTAAAACATTGTATTATTATACATGCGCTGATGAAATGTACTAGCTCCATTAAGCAACCATTGTTAAACATGTACTAAGACACGCGCTTGACGGAAAATTAATTTAAAACTATGCTTTATTAACAATTGATTTTAAAGAGCATATATTAAGCCTCTGTTATTCTCGAATTCTTCGAATTCATCGAATGCCACTTTAGACCCCGAATTTTCACTTCGTGAAAATTTTCCCCACCGGGGTCTTAGGATTCTCGGAAATTCCATTCCCCTGCTCGAGCAGGGGCGGATCCAGCTTCGTAAATGAACTTAGGCACAATGTCGCACCGTTAGCGCGACTTTTCTTGGGGGTGTCCAGGAACATGTCCCCCCCGGTAAAATTTTAAAATTGGATCGCGAAAAACGCTATTTCCTGCGTTTTTGCAGTTGGTCTTCTAAAATATTTATTACTGGAATGAGCTAACATTCTTGCTCATAAATTATCGATTTTTGACCGTTTCGCTCAATATCAGAGCTCATCAGCATGCCTAGGAAACTTGCAGAAAAGTATGCTTTGAGGGCTTCCGACATGGACGGCCTGGTTCATTACAAACTTAGCCTAAAAAAATTCTTTACGCTTCATCAATATGGAATTTTATTTTATAATGGTCTAGTCATACCTATATGCTGATTATTATGTAAACGATTTTATGTCAACTTATCAAATGAAGTTGTCAATAAAAAAAAGCAAAAAAATGTTTGCAGATGTCGATCGTCCAGGTAAGTAAAGTCCTGAGAACGATTGTTTGTGTTTATATTGACTGAGGTTAGCGGCAGTCATCTTTACAGTCAAGAGTTTAAAAAAGGCATGAAGAACTTTCACTCCAACTAGAAAGCTAGTTCAATTCTTTTTGTCTTTGCAAAAGATCTATAATTTTTTCTATATCTAGATTAATGTCCTGATGAGTATACAATAAAGCAAGACCATTTAACCTGTCAGCAGCCATAATGGACTCCGTCGATTTCGAAGTATGAGGGTTCCACACAAAGTGCAACATCCTGGTTACTAAAATTATAGTGAAGGCAGCTGACTAGACTACAATCACTCGTACCTTTCACGCAACTACAACGCTGATATCAGCGTGACACAGTGTGACGCAGATGCAGATACAGTCCACCCGAGGACATAGTTTCCTCTACCAAATTTCCCTCACATGGCTTTGGTCAACCCGGGCTAGGTTTACAGACACATTGCCAGATGTGCCACGAGCCGTTATTGAACCCGCGCCGTCTGGCTTATAGCTCACGCAATTAACCATTCAGCCACCCGCCCGTCAGCAGCCATTGTACTTCTTGTATCTTCGCAAAGCAGAGAACGACCTCTCACACTCACAAGAAGTGACTGGAATGGTACCTAAGATCTTTAACAATACTTTTATGTTCTCAAAACCTGGAAAATTTACCGACTTTAAAGTAGAAGAGACATTTTCAGTAAGACAAGTTGTAGAAGACGATTCCCAGTATTTCTGCCAGAGATCAAATTCACCATCTAAAGCCTTTGGATTTGGAAGATCATCCAAGAACAAAGAAGAAAATGAATAAAATTTTTCCTTCCAAGAAACGCCACAAGAAAGACACAAAAGTAACTTGGATGGAATTAAAACAAGCCATAATATATGCTAGTTGCTGATGAATCAAACCGTTTTTCTAACTCAGAACACAAGTGATCAGCTAAAGGAATGGTTATTGTTTTCTTAAAGTAATCAGATACAGATTCAGACCGAACATTACTTCTAATTGCCTGACGACCACAAGTCCTAGGTTTTTTCTCTTCAACACCCACCTTTTCTGCCATCGTCAATGCAATACTGTACCAGTTAGCACGATAAACATCGACTTCATTTCTTACATTTCTCGACAATTTTTAATGCCTCAATCAAGTTCAAACCGTCAGCAATATCATTACTAGAAGACTGAAGTAACTGAGTAACTGGAAGAGTAAGATCAAAATACATCTAGTTATTACGAGTGCTGCAATAAAATCAAAAGATGTCAAAAGATGTAACAGAGGGAAGCTTTACTAGAGGTCTCACGATTACACTTGCCTTCGACGTTAAAACTCATTTCTTCCAAGAAAAAAACAATAGCAACATACAGTTCTTCAAAAGTATCTAAGCTAGTAATACGCTTGACCCATCTTGTCTTACAAGCACTTTTCAATCTCTTTTTTGCAGAATCTGGACAGCGTTCTCCAATGCATTTCTCCAAAATTAGTTGTCTGCATTGGGAAGAGTTGAAAAAGTTAGCAACTTCCATCACATGTTCCAAAATATATGTTACATACTGAACAGCACAAGTCCCACAAATACTAAGATTTAATCTGTGACTGAAACAATGTGTGTAAATGGCTTTCTCATTCAAATTCTTAATCCTTGCAGCAAGACCATTAATGCATCCAGCAACAGCACCTGCGCCATCATACCCCTGCCAACGACAGTCCTGAATGTTCAAATTCAACTCTTCGTTTAAACATTTCAAAATCACAGATGCAAGAGGCATTTTTATCATGATGCTTAAGATGGGATTCCAAAATGGTGTCCCCTGCACGAACACGGAAGTTTAATAATTCAATAAAAATACCAACATGCTTTTCAGAATATTCACCAACTTCAGGATGATACTGAGAATCATCCCGATGACCTCTAAGTGGTAATTGAAGGCGACCTGCAAGAATGATGGTATCAACTACTGGAACTAATTTTTCCTATTCTCTGAAATCTTTTTCTTTAAGTTACTGTCAATCATGACATTTATTGGCTGGCTTTTACCGAACTCTGATCCAAGATATCCTTAAGAAGAGCAAGTGTGAACATGAAGACCTGATGATGTACTTATACCTTTTATTGCACTTTTAGCATCAGGCCAATGTGTTAATGGCTCTGAAAAATATTTTAATTCACTGTTTTGGAGGAAACCTATCACCAAACAAAACACATGGTAAGCAAAAGCACCATTAAGACTTGGAGAATACAAAGCCAAAGATAATCCTTCAGCCAATCATGTCGAAAGGACCTACTGACCATTTGCATCAACAGTTTTAGGAAATTCATAGCATTCATCAGGTACGAATACATTCTTCACAAGTTTTTCAATTTCATGAATTTCCATATCTCTCACCTTTTCTGTATAAAAACTAACATCATATGGATTTCTAGGCAAATCAGCATTTGCAGTTTTATTATCTGGTAATTGCAAGGTAGAAGATGAAATAAAAGAAGAAGCATCACAAGAACCCAAAGCGCTACTGTGAGATATACCACATGGATGAGCCTTAGTTGTCATGGTTGTCTCAGTAGGACCAGTAGGTGTAAACCTCAACTTTGTTTGTATACTGGGCTTTATAGCTTGTGACAAGTGACTACTTCCCTTTCTTTTAGTTCCCTTCCCACCAAGTATCAAAGGCACATAGTGATTGTGTTTGAATGCAGTTGCTTAAGGAGCTGAACCTTCAAAGCAAAACAAAACTCGCAAATAATTACTAGTGGAAGCACAAGCTCTAGATTGAATTTGAGGTTCAATTCTTTGGTTAAATAATAAATTCCACCTATAAGCACTAGAGTATATGTCAGGATAATAAGAAAAAATGCTACAGGATGTAACTGAAGAGAGTGTCAACAAACAAACAAACACAGTCCATGACATATCTTTTGCATATAACACAGCTTCTGCCCTGACCAGTTCGGCAACAGAACAACCATTTCCAGCACTATCAATAGCTTCAAAAGAGACTGACATGGCCACCATGCTTGAGATGGAATCAAAGTGTTTGTTATGCTGAGTTTCAAAAAGATTTGAAAAACATGTATGTTTCACATAATCAGCATATAAAAATAATTCTATAGAGGTCATCAGCCTCAAAATAGTCACCACAGAGTTGTCACCAACAAGCAGAATTGAAAATGAACTATAGAGGCAGTTGCCATTTGTAGCAGATCTGAAATAATGTTATGTAAATTTCAAATATTATGCTTCAGTGCATTTTTGTATATCTTATCTTAAGTATACTATTGAACACATCAAGAAATAAATCAATAGAAACGTTTTAAATATGATCGAAATTTGAAAATTTGTTTTGTTTTGAATCACATAAATAAAACACAAATGACAAATCCATCGGGCATCACATCAAGTCAATTTATATTTGCTTATATATTCTTGTGTAAGCATGCATGCATAACATGTCATACGTTTTCTAACCTTAAGGCAACCAAATTTGTGTTCTTTGTCTTGGCACTCTGCGGTAAGTAAAATTCGGCATTGATATTTTGGAAAATATCAACACCGAGACGATCCAACAAATTATCGTTGGTAACAATGCTGTTGACTTTCAGGCAATCCAACATCTCTGCGTAGAGTTGAGCCATAAAAGTCCCATCTTTCCTCGTAAAAGCATCTTCGACTCGATCAGTGAAAGATGCCATGCTTCTCATTAAAATCGTTGGTTTTGAAGCTCAAAGATAAAACCTCAGCTATCAACAATCTCAATCTGTGCTGAATTTCGCACAACACCCCGCTTGAACATTTCAGCAAAAACGGCGGCTCGTTACTCAGCACAACGGCAATAAACCAATCAAGAGACAGATTTTAGTCTCCAAATTCGATAAGGACTTGTAGTACGTATTCCATATATGGATAATATTGCACAATCCATAAGAGCAAATACACGACGCTAAAGCGCAAATACATGACGATAAAGAGCAAATACACGACGTTAGCAACAACAAAAAGTCAAAATGGCTGCTCGAGGGAGTCATTCGATTTCTGAGCGACATCCATCTGTGTACTGTGATAATGAAACTTGTAGTCCTCTTATTGTACGTTGTGGTCGAAATGACTGTGGCGCTGAAAAATGCAATGGAGAGATGTATCATTGTCCTTTGTGTCCTCCTGAAAAATTTTCAAAAGAAATTCCATCAAGAGTAAAAGAACACTTTAAAAGCGTCCACTGGGAAAACAGGATTCATGAATTTGAAGGTAAAATGTGCTTATTTCTGCGTAGGTTTAATACATAACCCACGTCAATGAGCGAAACGCACAAAGAACTTTGGATTAAATCACAAGTATTGATTAAATCATGAAGAATTTAGGTAATTTTAATAAATAATTTGAGAAATTGGGTTTAAACTTATAAAATATTTAGTTTTCTAAACTGCATCATCACAGCTGAAGATGGGTACTCTCAATTATAAATGAAAACCACATGCTTTTAACAGAAACTAACTTTGTGCTGTGCTATTTCCCTAAAATAGAAAAGCATTATTAACCTATCTTATATTTATTGAATATCATTTGATTGTATGCTCATCTAGTTAATATTGTATTCGTCTCACTATATATCCATAATATCCTATCATTTCCATATTCTTTCTTTACTATTTCTTGTTTTTTTAAGGTTTTGACATTCTGAGGTGTAAGCTGTCATGTACTTTTGCATCCAAACGACATGGCTCAGATGTCAAGCATTTCAAAGATGTTTCGCACTATCACTGTTTTGGATGTAATTCTGGATTCAAGCGTGAATGAAGCAATTCGACATATAAGAAGTGCACATGATTTACAGCTTTCTGTTGTAGAGTTTGGTTGGGAAACAACAATGTTCTCAAAGTCAACTTTCTCCACATAAAGTAGCCCAACAGCAAGTACCTCAAAACCTACCATTTGAGCAGCAAATGCATCAAACTCAGTTCCCTCAAGTTCAGCAGCATCAGCTGGAGCACCAAGTGACCACTCAGCATCTCACACAGCTGCAAACACAGCAACAACAAGAGCAATTTCTACATATGGCTATCTGAGGAAACACACCAACAAAGCAGCACAAACATAGAAATGTCTGAGGTTCAACAATATCAGGAGTTTTCTTACATGCCGCTCAGTCTTCAATGCGACAACAACCACCCAGAGTTAAATGTCCTTTCCCGGACTGTAAAGAATTTCATCCAAATTCCCTTTCAAGCCACATAAAGACCAAACATGCTGCTGATAAAAGAAAGAAAATATCTTCAATGAGGTACTTGAATGGAATATGTGTTGACTCAACAAGCATTTCATCAAATTTTCTCAAATTCTTATATAATTCATAAAACTTCTAATCATACCTAATGTGAAAATTTTATGTAAAATAAAGACGTCCTTCGATGTGAACTGATATCCTTATACTATATTATATACTATATATAGTATATATACATACGTATAGATAGCCAATGCCTAAATAGAATCTTAAGTTCTTTGAAGCATTTCATCAAATTTTCTCAAATTCTTATATAATTCATAAAACTTCTAATCATACCTAATGTGAAAATTTTATGTAAAATAAAGACGTCCTTCGATGTGAACTGATATCCTTATACTATATTATATACTATATATAGTATATATACATACGTATAGATAGCCAATGCCTAAATAGAATCTTAAGTTCTTTGAAGCATTTCATCAAATTTTCTCAAATTCTTATATAATTCATAAAACTTTTAATTATGCCTAAAGTGAAAATTTTATGTAAAATAAAGACGTCCTTCGATGTGAACTGATATCCTTATACTATATTATATACTATATATAGTATATATATCGTATAGATAGCCAATGCCTAAATAGAATCTTAAGTTCTTTGAAGCATTTCATCAAATTTTCTCAAATTCTTATATAATTCATAAAACTTCTAATCATACCTAATGTGAAAATTTTATGTAAAATAAAGACGTCCTTCGATGTGAACTGATATCCTTATACTATATTATATACTATATATAGTATATATACATATAGATAGATAGCCAATGCCTAAATAGAATCTTAAGTTCTTTGAAGCATTTCATCAAATTTTCTCAAATTCTTATATAATTCATTAAACTTCTAATTATACCTAATGTGAAAATTTTATGTAAAGTAAAGACGTCCTTCGATGTGAACTGATATCTTTATACTATACGTTATACTATATATATAGTGTATACATAAACAATTTTTGCGCATTGCTGTAACCTTTAAAATGAGCACTACAGGAATCGAACCCATATACTAGAAACAGCTAGCAAACCATTATGCTCGTTTAAAGGACAACAACAAACTTTTTCTGTTTTTCCATCAAATTTTATCACGTTATTGATTGTTCTTAGTCTCCTTGATTGATCACAAACGCAAACTACTGCAAAATACAAATAGCTGATATTAATGTTCGAGGCATATAAGAATATTATCCCAATTTTAACGCAACCTGGGCACATTCACTTCTTCATTCAGGCCATGCAGTAAAACTTATTTTAAATGACAACTTTTCCCAGAACTGTTTCACCCCGAATGATAGGTCCCAAAGAAATTATGGATTTATCCACACTTGTTTTGAAAGGATACGTTGCTCTAGTTTGGGTGAGATGTCAGTGAGCACTTGTTGCTGTAGAATCTCAAGTTTTTCTGTTGAATTCTGTTACCTTTTCATGGTGATTGGGAGAATACTGGAAGAGTGCTCCATCAAACACTCAACGATATTAGTAGAACATCTAAAACATTCAGATGCATTAGACGATAAACGTTCGACACAAAGAATAGCACAATTCGTTGCACGTTTGGCTCTGGTTCGTCCAGACCATTTGTTGTTTGTTACAACTCGTTGTAAAATAAGCAAATCAAACATATGATAATTAAATGGATTCAATAGACTCTTGAATGCTTTGCCGAACTACTTAAGAGGCAATATTATTATCCAATATAATTAGAAAATAGTTTATGACGTTAATGATAGAAGAACATGGAAATCTACATGTATGTCTTATGTCTAATAGGAAATCTCTATAGAACTGTCCATTGAAAATCTTGTTGTTTTAATGTTTTCATATTACGTTTAAAGGACTGCTGTAATTGGAGAAAGTTCCTAGCCAATTGGTAGTAATCTATGTTACTTTCTGGTGAATATGTTGGGAGATTGGTGTCATACTTTATGGACATAGTAACGTTTTTTTACAAAACATTGAAATTTCTGGTGCAATCTTATATCATGTTTGGATCAATTGTTTCCTTTGGACAATTAATGAGTCGTGACATTCTACAATTTTTAAAAACTGCTGAAAAAGTGCTAATTCAACTTACTTTTCAGTTTTCTGCGTTTTTGCGATGCTCATTTTCTAACGGCTTATTACGATTCCTGGACTAATCGCAATAAAACGTGTATGTACGCGTTAATGAACAAAAAATACAAAATTGAGTCAACTAAATGCAGTAAATTCTTTCTGAACCGTATTGAACATACTTGTAACTTATTTACGGCACTCTAAGGAAACAGTGTGTTTTGTGGTTGAGAAACGCTGATGCATATTGCTCAGGAAAAAAGCTAAGGCAACAACAGCCAATGGTTTTGAGGCGAAAACGTAAGAGCACACAGGATTTTACCGTTAAAAGAATCATTAAATTAGTTAGTGCTGCATTCAATGTAGTAATCAGAAATTTTATCTACCACAAATGTCACTAAATCAACGTCAGTTTTGCAAGCAAATCTTCACACTTGGCTTGGACAAATAACTGGAAACAGTGGCGGATCCAGTGTACCTCAAAATAAATTATAGCTCCTCAATTTGATATTCAAATTACATTCAGAAAAACTATTGGTTTTGAATTTCTAAAGAATATAATTTTGCCAATGAATTTGCCTCTAAGATATATTGGATAAATGAACTTAACGTTGCGGTTTAACGATAAAATGGATCTATTAGCTGCTTTCGTTGAAAAGAACAGTTTCTCTCACTTCTTTCCACATATCACGTTGACACGTCATGGAAGTGCCAAATATTTTTTATTACTTTATCTCAAAATTTGTTTTAAATAAGATTCAATATGTAGTAGTACGAAACCCTATGTAATGTACTTTTTAAAGTTATGGAACAATTATCTTTATAATATTGCCTTATGTTTTCTAACTTGCAGTACATCACATTGTATTTTTATCTCAATTTCAAAAAGTTGCCCGGCTAGACGAACGACGGATGTCACTCCCCTGCCATACCCCCTCCCCCTTCCCAAGAAGTTTCAAACGTGTAGGACGATTAGATTAGAAAATTGTATCTTTGAGTTGTTATATCATTGAAATTATAAGATAATATCTACAGAAACAGGCATGCACATGCAGCCAACAACTTCAACAGTTTTTAGAGGACACTAAAAGGTTATGCACCAGAGTTTATGAGTTATAGAGGTTATGCACCCTCTCCGACAACACAGACATGAGACAATAAGGCCTGTCTTATACTTCACATTTACATGAGTCAAATGCATTCAAAACAAAAGATAATGAGGAATTTCATCTCATTTTCTTTTATCTTTAATGCATTTGACGATGTAAAATACAGTCATGAAACAATAAAGTCATTAAACAATACATTCATTGAACAATATAGTCATTAAACAATACAGTCATTAAACAATACAGTAATTAAACAATACAGTCATTGAACAATACAGTCATTAAACAATACAGTCATTAAACAATACAGTCATTAAACAATACAGTCATTGAACAATACAGTCATTGAACAATACAGTCATTAAACAATACAGTCATTGAACAATACAGTCATTGAACAATACAGTCATTAAACAATACAGTCATGAAACAATACAGTCATTAAACAATACAGTCATTGAACAATACAGTCATTAAACAATACAGTCATGAAACAATACAGTCATTAAACAATACAGTCATTAAACAATACATTCATTGAACAATATAGTCATTAAACAATACAGTCATTAAACAATATAGTTATTAAACAATACAGTCATTAAACAATACAGTCATTAAACAATACAGTCATTGAACAATACAGTCATTAAACAATACAGTCATTAAACAATACAGTCATTAAACAATACATTCATTGAACAATACATTCATTGAATAATACAGTCATTAAACAATACATTCATTAAACAATACAGTCATTAAACAATACATTCATTGAACAATACATTCATTGAACAATACAGTCATTAAACAATACAGTCATTAAACAATACAGTCATTAAACAATACAGTCATTAAACAATACAGTCATTGAACAATACAGTCATTAAACAATACATTCATTGAACAATATAGTCATTAAACAATACAGTCATTAAACAATATAGTCATTAAACAATACAGTCATTAAACAATACAGTCATTAAACAATACAGTCATTGAACAATACAGTCATTAAACAATACAGTCATTAAACAATACAGTCATTAAACAATACAGTCATTAAACAATACATTCATTGAACAATACAGTCATTAAACAATACAGTCATTAAACAATACAGTCATTGAACAATACAGTCATTAAACAATACAGTCATTAAACAATACATTCATTGAACAATATAGTCATGAAACAATACAGTCATTAAACAATACAGTCATTAAACAATACATTCATTAAACAATACAGTCATTAAACAATACAGTCATTAAACAATACTGTCATGAAACAAGAAAGTCATTGAACAATAAAGTCATTAAACAATACATTCATTAAACAATAC